TTTAAAATTTTTTAAAAAAAATTTTTTGTATAATCTTTGATCCAATCTTTTACTTAGTAAAAAGTTCAAAAAAACAAAATTGGCAAGATAGAATTATGTGCTAAACAAATTTGCTTAAGAGGTCAGAACAGGTTATTTAATTGGTGATTTGCCAGTTACTTGGTGCATAATCATAGTATAATGTGATGCAAATCACTATGTAAATCACATATACTCGAATATAGTGTTTGCCTAAGGAAAACTTTTTTTGTACTAGTTAATTGCTCTTCTGTATTAAGTCAAAATTGTAGAGCTCGTCGAGACGCATCTAATGGTGGTTAGATCATCCAAATTGGCTTAGCCGATAGCGAAATATCATCGAAAACGATTGGCCAATTATGTAAAATTCTATATAAACAAACTATTGTTTACATAGAAATTTTATATAGTCAGCCAATCGTTTTTCGACGATATCTTGCTATCGGCTAGGCCGATTTGGATGATCTAACCACCATTAGATGCGTCTCAATGAGCTCTACAATTTTGACTTAATACAAAAGAGCGATTAACTTAATACAAAAAAGTTTTCCTTGGGTGAACACCACATTCAGAGTATATATGATTTACATAGTGATCTGTATCATATTATACTATAATTATACACCAGGTGACTGCCAAATCACCAATTAAACAAAAAAAAAATTTTATATAGAAAAACTAAAAATTTTAACATTAGTATATAGAAAACTTTTTTTTTTACTAAGATAACCTTTTGGTTATCTAGACTGAAGTTGTTCAGAATATAATTTTATATATAATTCTTATTTTAATTCTGCTAAATTTTTTTTTTTTTGATATGTCCTGCCACTGTTTTTATTAAGATATTAACTATACAAAAATTACAAGAATTCTTAACTATAGTTATTCTTTCTTTAACTGCAACAAGTGACTCACTTAACTTAAAAGCTTAGATGCAATATCGTCTAGTAGCCATTTGCCTCCTTCTGGGCCTCTAACTTACTAGAGACATAAATTCTTCGATCATTGGCCAGTGCCATATGCCGTATTAGTATTATCTTTTCTTTTTTAGAAATGAAAGAGACCAAGACAAGAATCAAAGAGCAATAAAAAAAAGGAGTAATATCTTAATATCCAAATTTGATTCATCTAACCAAAAACAAGAAAAAAATAAAATAAAATAAAATAAAATAAACCAAAAATAGTACTATTAAACCATACTGGATTGTAAAAATTATATAGTACTACTAAATAAACTAGTCTAAACTCTATGTTAGTTATTTATGTCTATATTAGAATATATAATATATCTATCCTTGAATAGAGATCCAAGTTCAAAATTTCTTTTGCGATAAACCAGATTTTTAGCACGGTGTTCTGCAACGTATTCTTGTGCTTAGTATAGTTTGTTTCTGAGCAAAGTTGGCAATCTAGAGATCTCAGTATAAATACTATAACCTCTTGAAGAAACTGATCAACATGTTTTTTATCCTAAAGTAGACATGTACTCTTATATATGACTTTCTTTTTTTTGGCAACAATTGTTGTTATCAATCTTTTGATAGGGATATGCTGAATTTTCTACTTTTTGATAAAATTTCGTAAAGAACAGAGAGTGGAGTTTTGGTAGAGGGTTTCGGTTTGCAGATAGCCTTAAACTTCAATAGAGAGTGTGTTGAAAACTTGCTTGCTGTTCCCTTCAGACCAACTATCTTTTACTTTGAGAGCAGAAGCTATGCTTCTATTAAAATTTTTTGTACAAGAACACCATCTTCTGCTAATTATCTTATACAAGAATACTTTTAACTTGCTTGCTAAATATACAGAGGAGTCCAAAAGAAAATCCGAAGTATCTTGACCTCTGTAAAAACCATTACTTGTAGTTGTTTCTTCTACTTTTTCCAACAAGTTTTTCATTTTCATTAGTCGTAAGTTTGGTACAAGTGATTGTCAGGAAGAGTTGATTATCAATATCTGTAAATCTGCTAAATTTTTTTTTTTGACAAAATTACATTTTTAAATTATATCAAAATTGCAACATTTTTATTTAGTTCAAAACATGTTTTTTTCGCCTTTTCTTGATATATTTATTTATAAAATTTAATTTAAAGTTAATATGTAAATGAAAAAACATCAATTGCAACAAAGTTTATATATAATTCTATATGTTTTTGCTATAATTTTATATATAAAAAACACTGTATATATAAAATATGTGACAAATCAATTGACTGCTATAGTAATATTACTCAATATTATAAAATTTATTAAAAGAAAATAAATTATAGTTAGAAATTAGAGTTAGCTTTGAGTTAGAGTAAAAGAGTTTAATTAGTGATTCATTAGTCAACTAAAGAGAGATTATAATATAATATGATATAGTTTATATATAGAAATTAGAGTTTTTGAATGTGAGCTACTTCTATTTAAAACTTTTTTTGTACTAAATTAATTACTTTTAAGCTTCTAATTAAAGTTGTAGAGCTTATTAAGATGAATCTAATAGTAGTTAAATCATCAAAATCAGCTTAGTAAATTATAAAATATTTTTAAAAAATAGTTTGCTAACTATATTAATTATATGAATAAATATTCTTGTTGCATCCCGTTATATGATATTTTTGTCACAGGTCATGTGTAATATATAAACAATGATTATCATGATAATCATTGATTTTTTTTTTTTTTGCTTGTTTTTATCGTGTGTACGTTTTACTAACCAACTTTTTTTTTATGTAACCAGACATTATTACTAAAGTCGTTGCTTTTTTGGAGTCATCTTTTGGAGTTGTTGTCTTTTGGAGTTGTCATTTCTGGAGCCGAGCTAATCTTTATTGGCATGATATCATCAATTTCGGTAGACTTTGTTTCACTTGTGAATTTGTCATTGGCGTCATGTTGTCGATTTTGTTTCGCTTGTATGAATTTGTCATTAGCATGGTGTCGTCGATTTCAGTGGACTTTGTTTCACTTGTGTGAATTTGTCATTGGCATTGTGTCGTCGATTTCGGTAGATTTTGTTTTGCTTGTGTAAATTTGTCGTTAGCATTGTATCATCGATTTCAGTGGACTTTGTTTTGCTTGTGTGAATTTGTGTTGGCGTTGTGTTGTTGATTTTGGTGGACTTTTGTTTCGCTTGTGTGAATTTGTCATTGGCATGGTGTCATCAATTTTAGTAGACTTTGTTTTGCTTGTGTGAATTTGTCATTGGCGTAGTGTTATCGATTTTGGTGGACATTGTTTTACTTGTATGAATTTGTTGTAGGTGCGTCAATTTCAGTATCACCTCTAGATTCTGCTTTTGGTGAATTTATTTACTATGTTTTTTTGTTGTTTTGGTTTCTTGGTTGTGAAATACTAATACCTTTTTCTTTCACGGCTGTTGTGCTTTCTTCATTTGGATTTGGGATTTCGACTTGGTGGGAAATTTATTTTACTTGTTTGTTGTCTTGGTTTCTTTGTTAATAAGTACTAATACTCTGCTCTTTTTCTTAGCTTGTCTTCATTTTGGAATTGTGCTTTTGGTTTGGGTGGGTATACTTACTTTGTCTGTTATTTTGACTTTTTGGTTGTAAATACTAATGCCTTTCTCTTCTTTTTCGGTTGTTGCGCTCTTTTTGTTTGAAATTAGACTTTTAGCTTGGGTAAGTATATTTACTGGGTTTGTTGATTTGATCTCTTTGTTGTGTATCACATTAAACTAACACTTTTCTCGTATCATTGATGATTCTCTAAGTGATACAGTTCTGCAGTTTCATCGTTGTTAACTTCTTAATGGTTTACTTTTGTGGATGCTGGTTTATAATTAGTATAGCCGTAGTCTTGTTATTATTTACTTCGCTGTTGCTAATAGTTTTTGTACTATCAATGGTGTACTACATGATATTGTTTGGGTTAGAGGAGGTAGTAGTTAGTATATAAGTGTATTATAGCTGAAATGGCTTTGACGATATTTTAATATTTGTCGACGACATTTTAAGATTTGTTATACATGATCGATGATTTTTAATAAAATAAAATTTTAATATTATAATATTGATGGAAAAATTATTATATGATACTAATGTATTATTTTTAATTTGATTGGCCAAATATATGTTATGTGATCCGTGATAAATGTGCAGTATAATAGGGTACAACAAATAAATTTCTCCTAATTATATAATATATTATATCTAAATTTTGTATATATAAACTTATATTAAAAATATATAAAATTACATATAAACTTTGTTGCAATGATATTTCTTCATTTACATATTAACTTTAAATTAAATTTTACAAATAAATATATCAAGAAAAGTAAAAAAAATTGGTGATTCACCACTCAACCAAAGAGAGCTCATAGTGTAACATGACGCAGTTTATATATAGAAATTAGAATTTTTGGAATGTGAGCTGCTTCTATCTAAAACTTTTTTTTGTACTAAGTCAATCACCTTTGGGCCTCTAATTGAAGTTGTAAAACTCATCAAGATGAATCTAATGGTAGTTGAATCGTTAAAATCGGCTTGGTGGATCACGAGATATCTTCGAAAAACGTTTTACTAACTATGTAAAATTCTCTCTTTTGACAATAGTATCGGCAAGAGAATTTTACATAGTTAGCGAAACGTTTTTCGAAGATATCTCGTGATCCACCAAGCTGATTTTGACGATTAAATCACCATTAGATTCGTCTCAACAAGCTCTACAACTTCAATTAGAGGCCCAAAGGTGATTAACTTAGTACAAAAAAGGTTTTAGATAGAAGCAGCTCACATTTCAAAAATTCTAATTTCTATATATAACCCATGTCACGTTATACTATGAGCTCTCTCTGGTTGAGTGGCGAATCATCAATTAAGTTAAATTAAAATTTTGCAATTTTGATATAATTTAAAAATGTAATTTTGTCAAAAAAAAAAATTTAGCAAATTTAAAGTAAGAATTATATATACAATTATATTCTAAACAACTCCAGTATACTAATATTAAAATTATTAGTTTTTTTCAGTATTGGGCAATATGGACATTTGGACTTATTAAAAAAAATATGGACAAATATGAACATAGTTATTTATAGACATGAACATATAGGTTTGGATATAGTCCAAATTTTTTAAAAAATATGGACATATACCAAGTGCCAACACTGGTTTTTTTATATAAAACTTTTTTTATTTAAATAATCTGTTCTGACTTCTTAAGCAAATTTGTTTAGCACATAATTTTATATATTTTATATTTTACTAATTTTGTTTTTTTGAACTTTTTACTAAATGAAAGATTGAGTCAAAGGTTATACAAAATTTTTTTTTTTAAAAAAAATTTTTTATATAACTTTTGATTCAATTTTTCATTTAGGGTGTGGCGATATAGTGTAGTTGGCAAGTTGTCACCCCTCCAAATAGCAGGTCTAAGGTTCAAATCCCACTGGCAACGATTTTGAAAATTAAGATTTGTTTCGGTAATAATTATTTGACGATCGGTTGGGTATATCACCTGTAGTCTTGGTACTACCATCTTGAATAGGAGCTTTCGAGCAAAGTTGTGTGATATCACACAGACAAAGCCAAGGAACTGGAATAATTGAAACCCATTTGGCAAGTCCCGAGCAAGGAGGTAGTAAAGATCTTCGACGATATTGCAGAAACTGGAATCTCAGAAACTGGAGACCGAAGAACTGGACACAATAACACTGGAGCAAAAGAGGTTCACCAACCTGGCTGCCGGAGTCGTACTGGAGAAAAAGGTCCTATGTTATGAAATTAGGAACCAAAGGAAGGGAACCATAGGGCACCTAAAGCCTAGATATACTAACCTATCTGAGCAAACTAGATTGGAAGTTTGGAAGAGATCGGTATAAGGACTGGAAGAAGGTGGATGTAGGTATCGGGATTGAAACGAACCTTGTAAGGGCAGGGAAACCAAAAATTGTGTGGTTTAATGGTTAGCCCTGACCGCTAGTATTGGTCTCGGCTATAGCAGACAGGTTTTCTGAACCTAATTCAGAAATATGTGGGATATAGAAGGATTAGGGAGGTACCCTTAACCTTACAGTCAGGTGACGTACTCTGAAATATGTAACGGCCTGACAGATGTAGAAAAAGGGAGGCTAAATATTGGGTTAGATGGCACTTAGTTGTACGGGAACCAGGTGTTACTTGCCTGGTATAGTATTAGGATCAGAGTATTTAAATAGGTAATCTCCTAGCAGATTACAGATATGGCAGCTAGTGTAAAACCTTCGGGCGGACTACTTAAATTAGGTAACCAAAAGTTGCACGTGTGGCTGATTGCACACTCACCTTGTACAAGTTATATGTAATGTATTAACTAAAAATACAAATAAAGGCAGTAGCCCCGTAATATCGGCCTTAGTAATAAAAAAAAAAAAAAAAATCTTTCACTTAGTAAAAAGTTCAAAAAAACAAAATCAGCAAAACACAAAATATATAAAATTATGTCTAAACAAATTTGCTTAAGAGATTAGAACAGGTTATTTAAACAAAAAAAAAGTTTTATATAGAAAAACTGAAAATTTTAACATTAGTATATAGAAACCTTTTTTTTATTAATTGGTGATTTGCCAATTACCTGGTGCATGATTATAGTATAACATGATACAGATCACTATATAAATCATATATATCCTGAATATGGCGTTCACCCAAGTAAAATTTTTTTTGTACTAAATTAATCACTCTTCTGTATTAAGTCAAAATTGTAGAGCTCATTAAGACACATCTAATGGTAATTAGATTATCCAAACCAGCTTAGCCAATAGCGAAATATTATTAAAAAATGATTGGCTGACTATATAAAATTTCTATGCAAACAATAGTTTGTTTATATAGAATTTTACATAGTCAGCCAATCATTTTTTGATGATATCTCACTATTGGCTAAGCCGATTTAGATAATTCTAACTACTATTAGATGCATCTCAACAAGCTCTACAATTTTGACTTAATACAGAAGACGATTAACTTAGTACAAAAAAAAAGTTTTCTTTAGGTGAACGTTATATTTAGGGTATATATGATTTATATAGTGATTTGCATTACATTACACTATGATTATGTACCAGGTGACTGGCGAATCACCAATTAATATAACTCTTCTTTACTCTTTAACTATAGTTGTTCAGAATATTTTTTTTGACAAAATTATATTTTTAAATTGTATCAAAATTGTAAAATTTTAATTTTGCTTAAACCATATTTTTTTCACTTTTTCTTGATATATTTATTCATAAAATTTAATTTAAAATTAATATATAAATGAAAAAACATCATTGCAACAAAGTTTATATGTAATTTTATATGTTTTTGCTATAATTTTATATATATAAAATACTGTATATATAAAATATATGCCAAATCAGTTGACTGATATAAACTTCTTTTTTAATAATACTATTATTAAAAAAAAAGTTTATATAGTTAGCAAAATATTTTTTAAAGATATTAACTACTATTAGATTTGTCTTAACAAGCTCTACAACTTTAATTAAAAGCTCAAAAATAATTACCTTAGTACAAAAAAAAGTTTGATAGAAGCAACTCATATTCAAAAATCTTAATTTCTATATATAAACTGTATTATATTATATTATAATCTTTCTTTAGTTAACTAGTAAATCACCAATTAAATATATATAAAATTTGGTACTAAAAACTTTTAATTAGAAGTTAAAGTATAATTTTTATAACAAAATTTTAAATTATAAAAACTCTTTCCAACGATCCCTCAAAAAAATTAAAAAAATAACAAAATAAAAGAAAGCTACAGTAAAAAGAACCTAAATAAAGCCAGAATATAGACAAAATTAGCACAAA